CCTGGCTGTCAGCGCTCCTCTCGGCGGTGAGCGGTGACCGCTTGCGCCCGACGCCTCACCCTCTCCGGTTGGACACACCGCCAACGCCGCCGCTGCCGCTGCCTCTGCCGCCGCCGCTGCTGTCGCTGTTACCCCTTGCTGTGACCCCTCGGACGCGATTCCCGAACCGGCACCCTGGTTTTTCTTCTTCTGCTGTTGCTGCTTCCTCGCCCCCCCGCGCCCATAGTTTGACTTCCCTCCAAGCCCTGCTATCCGTGGCACCGCTCCTGACCCCGTCGTTGTCGCCGGGCCGCTGCCGCTGCCGCTTACGCTGCCGCTTACGCTGCCGCTGCCGCTGCCATGTGGCATGCCGCCGTGATCGAATGCGTCGACCGTCGATACCGCGACTATGGTGCGGTGGCCGAGGTGGGAAATGGAAGAGTTGCTGCTGTTTCGTACTCTTTTCGATCCACGAACCACCCCGTCGCTGGGAGGCTTTCGAGGACGTCGCGCGAGTTTCCTGTCCATATCTCGCAGCTGCTTGGTGATGGGTGGTGGGGGGGGGGAATGCGTGCTCGTGTTTAGCATTCCTTTGCTGTTAGACCATTGACCGCGCGTGATCGACAAGACGGAGCAACGCGGGAGGGAGGGATAGAACTGTTCCGGGCAAAGGAGGAAGGAGGTCAACAGTCCAGTTTCAAGTGGCCCTGGCAGCGTGAAAATGCGCCGCTTCGCCGCTCTCAACTCCGCGTCTGAAATCAACAGCGACAGCGAAGTCATCGTTGGTCCTTGTCGTTGGACCAACAGAAGAAAATGCACCAAACTTCGCAACCCGCCGCCCCAAAACGTCACCATCGATCCTCTAAACGGGAACACCCAGTGGAGATCCCTAGGGCTCAGGCTACCGACAAAACCATGAGCCAGACTTTGTATCAACAGCTCCAGAAGCCGGGCACATTCTTTGCGACGAAGGCCACGTTGCAACACTTGGAAACCTAATACTCCATGTTCGTCATCCCAACAGCAACGAGCCGCTCACAACCTCAAACTAAGGTACAGCCGTGACTTTCGAAGGAAAGGGCTCCGTCCGGAGCAAGCTTGCAACGTGCAGTAGCTGCGTTGCGGGCTGAATTACTCTGTACATGATGTATGTGAAAACCCATCGGCATGAGCGCTGCCAAGGATTGGCCCTCGTGTCATGGACCGCCATGTCCACTGCCGATTCGCCAGTCGAGGTAAACGGAACCTCAACTGCGGGAGCACTATCTTTCAATAACGAGGCGACAACAATCATGCCGCTATCTACTTGATCAGGAGAGACATGGCGAACTGTAGGAAGCGATCGGCTCTCCCCAAGCACGGCTTCCCACGCAAGAAACTATTCAGCAATTGAGCCTGCCTCACTGTGGTCTTTCGAGAGCTCAGAAGAGTACGAAGCGCTGACCGACCTTGGCCTCCAGCGCTCTGACTCGCTCGTTGTCCCTGTTTGTCCCCTGTCCAAGCTCGCCAGCAGCACCGGCACCAGCAGCACCGCTACTACGGCTGGTAGTGGAGGCGTCGTCCGCACCGCCGTCTCCCACAAGGCGTGCCTTGCTCGGCACCTGGCCAGCGGAGGTTCCGCCTTTTCCCGCCGGAGGTTTGTCGCGAGGCTGGAACCCCTACATAGTCGGTCGACCGAAAGGGGGCGACAGCAAGCAGTAGGAAAGAAGTTAACCTCCCGAACCGTGACTGTGCGGCTTCTTCTTCTCGACTCGCAAGCATGCGCATGTGGGTATGGGGGAATAAGTGGTACTACCATCAGATGCCAGATTCGTAGATTTTTTTGCTCTCTTCAACACGGAACACACCAAGGTGAAACTTCCAAAGGTCAAGGGGTTGTCTCGCAACACGCGGACCAACGTCGTCACTCGCTTGCAAAGTTTTGAGTGTGTCATTTTCTACTTTTGTCGTTTCCGGGATGGTCATGCGGCGTGTGCGTGCTCCCATGCAACTACACCACCCACAAATGATGTCGCGATCGGAATAAGAAGCAGCATCGCGTTACGTATACATGCCTGGTTTTTCTTTACGAACTCCTCGGGTCTACTCGCCGCCCACAGCCCGAGCTCGAGAGCTCCCTTCGCAGAGCCAACGATGGCCTGTCGCAAGCTCCTTCCTGCCCGCAGCCCCTTCAACTGCAAGAAATCGAAAGTAGTTTACCCGCGGCGTCGGGGCGAGGTACCGAGCGACACACGGACGATGGCAATGCCCAGCTTACTGAGCACCTGGATCGTTTGCAGATGACCTTTTGGGTGTTGCTCGTTGGATACGCCGGGCGATAATTTCTCGGGGTCTCTGTCGGCGACTGCAGCTGTGCGCATCCTATTTTGTTAGAGGGGTATCCCCTCGACCAAAGTAATCAGTCACCGCGGACTAATGTGGTCTACGGAAAGCAACCCATCTCGCTGACTACTACGTCGGCCTGGGGAATAGTCACTCTAGCCTAACACACCCAACTCGTAGCGGTCCAAGTATTACCTGTCGATGCGACCGGGCAAAGACAATCTACATGGCAAGCACCCGTTTTCCCCTATTCGGTGGAGGGTGCACTAGACGACGACAGACAACTTCAGAGCTAATTCGCGGCGCTCATGACCATCTGTTGCTCAGTTTGAGGTGTTTTTGCCTGTTGCTGATATCTTGTCGAAGTGCAGCCATACGGGTACAGTGATGCGTCCGTCGCACGGCGAGCGCTTACTAGGTCGTTGCCTTGTCTGACACGGTCCGTCAGCGCCGTGTGCGCTGGTAGCCGCTTATGAGCGCCGCCCCTGGATCGTTTGATCCATACATCAGCTGAAATAGCCTCCTTCCCGTCGTTCTCCGTTCCTGGTCCTCCTGATGGATTTTCGCCGCCTTCTTCCTGCTCGGGCTGCTTCTGGCGCGTCGTGGGATCACGTGGAAAGAGGCACACGAGGGAGACCGGCGTTTCGCATGTACTACCTCAGCCGAAAGCTGCTGAATGTTGTCCGTACATGGAAAAGGGCTCATTCCTGGGGGTAAAAGAATCGACTTGAGGTTGAGGAGGACCAAGAAACGTTGGGCACCGCACAAGGGAGGTGGTGAAAAACAACCTCCTCCTGTGTTACCTCCCTTTCGTTGGTGACCATGGCTAGTGCATCTATATATATATCTTCTTCGTGTATGTAAGGTACTTACGACAGCAGCAGGGCATACACCACTGACCGCTGACGACTGAGGAGCAGAACTCTTGATCTTGCGCTTTTTTTGCTCCTCGGCGGCAAGCTCCTCCGCTTTCATCCTCTGCACCTTCAGAACCACCGCAGGATTATATTCCGCGCGGTCACATTACGTAGAGTAGAGTATAGGAAAACAAGCAGTCGACAGCGGCTGGCTGCCATCTGCCTCGAGCTTTTTTGCAAAACGAAGCACGGAAGAGGCAGTGGTTGGGTGACGGAGACGAGTTGCGGAATGATGCCATCTACACGTTATCTCGAGTGATCCTCCGTGGATTGCATACCCCCCCCTTTGGAACAGAATACCTAGTCTTGTGAATGTGGAAGCCAGGATATTCGTATCTTCTTATACTTTCACACACATACATACGAAGCGAGTAAAGAACCTTCGACAGACGATAATTCATCGCTCTACTCTGGATCTGTACTCTGTGGGTTATTTGCTTCGACAGGAGTCGGGTTGGATCCTTATGGTTGGTACCGAGAGCCAAGAAGGGTCTCGGCCAACGCCCACTCGCAACCTTACCCTATCCTTGACCGAGCACGCTCGGTCACCGCTTGACATTCTTCGTCACATCGCAACAGAGGAAAATGGCCCGCTTCCGGTGGTGGGCATATACCACCTCGCCAAATTGGGGCCTCAGCTCACACGAAGCTGAGGTATTCACATTGGCTTCGACGAAGAGCGGTCTCTGTGTGTTTTTCTCCTCTGTTCACCCATTTTTCCAACATGGGCAACAACCAGAGGAGGAAAGACAACAAGGCCGGTCCGAACCAGCAGGTGGGCACGGGCGCCGGTAGCGGTGCTCCTCAGACCCCCTCAGCCAAACCCACATTCAAGCCTGCACAGCAGCCTCCACAGCAGCCTCAGCAGCATTCGGGCAAGAAATCGTCCAACATCGGTAAAGGACCCCTTGCCAACGTTGACTCTTCGTCAACCGGCTCGAAAGACTATGCTAGCGTTGCACGTGACGGCGCTGAAAAAAGTGGCAACCCCAAAAATGGAAGCGGCAACTCCAACGCTGGGGGTGGCAACTCCAGCAATGGAGGTGGAAGCTCCGGGGGGGGGCGGAGGGGTGGATCCTAACAACCGTTACTCCGCGCTTGCCGGGGACGCGCAAGATGACCCAGCCGATGGAAGCCGGGAAGACGGAGAAAATCGTCCGACCGATTCCACTCGCGTGCTGCCCTCCGATGTCCTCGGCCAGCTCCCGCAATCCACCGACACCGAGTCCTCGCCTTCTGCTTCCATCACGCAACTTCTGGGACGGTTCATCGTGGAGAGCTTGAGGGAAGCCAGAGACAACAAGGTCAAGCCGGATGACTGGATCATGAGTCTTGCCATGGGAACACCGGTGCAAACCACGGCAATCACCCAGGTGAAACCACACCGTTTAGAGTCCGATTTTTCTGCCGATCGTTCCGTTGACACTCCGATCATTCAGCAAGTTGTCTCACCCCAGCAGCAGCAGCAGCAGCAGCAGCGCGTAGCATGTTCACCCCAGCAAGGTGGAACTGGGTCACAACAGCAGCAGACGAATGTAGCACCTTCACCCCAGCAAAGTGGAGACGTGTCGCAAATGCAGCAGAACGATCTCGCCACTCACACACACGAGCAACGCAATCGCGCAACTCAAGATACTTTTCGCGCTCTCAAAGCTTCCGAGTTTCCGCCAACTCGGAAACTTGAGGGTCTCCCATCGGAAGATGTACCCAAAATCATGGGGCAGTATCGCACACACACGCCTCTCACTGCCCGAAAACACCTCGGATGACATCATCCACCGTAGGGCTATCAAGAACTTACGCCTCATAACGAAAGGCGCCGCGGCACAAACGCTTGATGTCATGCTGAGCTCAAGCTTGGAGTGGCGGTCGGAACAGCAAGTAGCCGCAGTTCGTGCACGAGGTGAACAAGTCATATCTCTCCTCCGAAAACCTGGAAACAATAGGTAAATGCTATGACTACTCTCTTTGCGCCTGCGAACAAAATCGCGCTTCTCGCACGCGAGGCCATGACGCTCCAAGCGAGGTCCAATGAGAGTGTCGATTCGTTTTCGATTAGAGTCTCACGAACCTACTCTAGACTTCTTGCCGAAGCCGAACGGACCGCACCACCCAACATGTCTGCTCACGAACACGCACTTGACAACGCACTCATTGCATCGTTTGAGAACTTTTTACCATCAGACATCAGGGTAGATATGATTAGAGAAGACGCGTCGCAAACGTTCATGACTTCTAAAATGTGTGATCGCAAACATGAAGCAAACCAACTGCGTTCAGCAAACTCTCAATCAACCGCCTCGGTATCTTCCCTTATCGACTCCACACTACCACCGCAGCTGAAAATTCAAGCTGGCGTACTCGAGAACAGGGTCACCCCGCTTGAACAACAAAAGCGCACCAACGAGGACGGCCATGTCTCCAGCGCATCACGCGGCCGTAGTCACAGTCGGGGGCCTTCCACCCACAAGCGGGGGTCGCCTTACGCCGAGCGAAACCCTAACAATCGCAACCAGAAGAAGAAGGTTGTGTTTGACGCTGACACTTCATCTGACGGTCGCAATAACACGGGGGGCGTAGAGTGCACGTACCCTGGATGTGCGGGAAGACCAAACGGTTCACGCATTCACGGCAGGAATGCCGTGCAGAGCAACGGGACAGAAAGAGTGGCCGCGTGGTTGTCGAAATAGGTTCGAAGCAGGGAAAGTATAGCCCAGACGGGCACCATTCCTCGGCCTGTTTGGGAGACACGTCTAGAGACTCAACAGCAGTAGCAGAGAGAGTAAGAGTAGACGAGAGGAATCCTGGGCATCACCCAAAACATGTCCAGCGTCTGGTGTTGTTTTTCGCTCAAGGCTCTTTGAATGATAAGTATTGGCTTGGATGGGGTGTTCGCAAGCTTGTCGCAGAAATTTCAGGCATACGGTGTGTAAACAGCAGATTATACTGATTGTGTCAAGACTCATCGTTGGTACGGCGGAGTTCGAACGCATGGTGTACCTAGACGCGGTGGTAGTGTGGAGTCGATAAGGGAAGATACCGAGGCGGTTGATTGAGAGTTTGCTGAACGCAGTTGGTTTGCTTCATGTTTGCGATCACACATTTTAGAAGTCATGAACGTTTGCGACGCGTCTTCTCTAATCATATCTACCCTGATGTCTGATGGTAAAAAGTTCTCAAACGATGCAATGAGTGCGTTGTCAAGTGCGTGTTCGTGAGCAGACATGTTGGGTGGTGCGGTCCGTTCGGCTTCGGCAAGAAGTCTAGAGTAGGTTCGTGAGACTCTAATCGAAAACGAATCGACACTCTCATTGGACCTCGCTTGGAGCGTCATGGCCTCGCGTGCGAGAAGCGCGATTTTGTTCGCAGGCGCAAAGAGAGTAGTCATAGCATTTACCTATTGTTTCCAGGTTTTCGGAGGAGAGATATGACTTGTTCACCTCGTGCACGAACTGCGGCTACTTGCTGTTCCGACCGCCACTCCAAGCTTGAGCTCAGCATGACATCAAGCGTTTGTGCCGCGGCGCCTTTCGTTATGAGGCGTAAGTTCTTGATAGCCCTACGGTGGATGATGTCATCCGAGGTGTTTTCGGGCAGTGAGAGGCGTGTGTGTGCGATACTGCCCCATGATTTTGGGTACATCTTCCGATGGGAGACCCTCAAGTTTCCGAGTTGGCGGAAACTCGGAAGCTTTGAGAGCGCGAAAAGTATCTTGAGTTGCGCGATTGCGTTGCTCGTGTGTGTGAGTGGCGAGATCGTTCTGCTGCATTTGCGACACGTCTCCACTTTGCTGGGGTGAAGGTGCTACATTCGTCTGCTGCTGTTGTGACCCAGTTCCACCTTGCTGGGGTGAACATGCTACGCGCTGCTGCTGCTGCTGCTGCTGCTGGGGTGAGACAACTTGCTGAATGATCGAAGTGTCAACGGAACGATCGGCAGAAAAATCGGGCTCGAAACGGTGTGGTTTCACCTGGGTGATTGCTGTGGTTTGCACCGGTGTTCACATGGCGAGACTCATGATTCAGTCATCCGGCTTGACCTTGTTGTCTCTGACTTCCCCCAAGCTCTCCACGATAAACGGTCCCAGAAGTTGCGTGATGGAAGCAGAAGGCGAGGACTCGGTGTCGGTGGATTGCGGGAGCTGGCCGAGGACATCGGAGGGCAGCACGCGAGTGGAATCGGTCGGACGATTTTCTCCGTCTTCCCGGCTTCCATCGGCTGGGTCATCTTGCGCGTCCCCGGCAAGCGCGGAGTAACGGTTGTTAGGATCCACCCCTCCGCCCCCCCCCGGAGCTTCCACCTCCATTGCTGGAGTTGCCACCCCCAGCGTTGGAGTTGCCGCTTCCATTTTTGGGGTTGCCACTTTTTTCAGCGCCGTCACGTGCAACGCTAGCATAGTCTTTCGAGCCGGTTGACGAAGAGTCAACGTTGGCAAGGGGTCCTTTACCGATGTTGGACGATTTCTTGCCCGAATGCTGCTGAGGCTGCTGTGGAGGCTGCTGTGCAGGCTTGAATGTGGGTTTGGCTGAGGGGGTCTGAGGAGCACCGCTACCGGCGCCCGTGCCCACCTGCTGGTTCGGACCGGCCTTGTTGTCTTTCCTCCTCTGGTTGTTGCCCATGTTGGAAAAATGGGTGAACAGAGGAGAAAAACACACAGAGACCGCTCTTCGTCGAAGCCAATGTGAATACCTCAGCTTCGTGTGAGCTGAGGCCCCAATTTGGCGAGGTGGTATATGCCCACCACCGGAAGCGGGCCATTTTCCTCTGTTGCGATGTGACGAAGAATGTCAAGCGGTGACCGAGCGTGCTCGGTCAAGGATAGGGTAAGGTTGCGAGTGGGCGTTGGCCGAGACCCTTCTTGGCTCTCGGTACCAACCATAAGGATCCAACCCGACTCCTGTCGAAGCAAATAACCCACAGAGTACAGATCCAGAGTAGAGCGATGAATTATTGTCTGTCGAAGGTTCTTTACTCTCTTCGTATGTGTGTGAAAGTATAAGATACGAATATCCTGGCTTCCACAGTCTACGGTTTTCAATGTGCAGAGTCCCGCGAAGGCGTCGCATTTTAGACCATAACCTAATTCACAGAAAGCACAACACGTCAACATATGCATTGAAAGGCGTGAAGGCGTATGGACTAGTGACAGAATGGATCGGGCGAACACACACACTTGACTTCCAGAGTACCCTTCACCACACTACTGCTGTAGACTATATAAGTGTCCATTTGTACATATTCTACACGGCTGTGTCCTACCTTCAGTCCGAAGACACTCGTCATGTCGTGCGGTGAAGAAGCTTGTCCTGCTGATGCTTGTCCACCATCCCCACCATCCGCCTGTCGATCGATACCTCCGCCTCCATCGGACCCATCTACCAAGCCCTGGTGGCTCAATCGCCTGGTCCTTCGGGTTGGAAGACTGGCGGAAACTCGGCAGATGACTCCGGTTTCATTCCGGGCAACGACGGTGCTGATCGTGTTGGGTTCAGGGATTAATTTCACCCCGCTGTTGATGATTTGGATTGGCATTACTTCACTGGGCCTGTTGCGGCCGTAGCAGTACCATGTGCGAGTGCTGGCGTGCGCTGTGTTGTATATCCTTTGATCTGCAGCACGTCTGCTTCACTCCTCTCCTCGACGAGCGACGGGACTGTCAAAAAATGGAAAATGAAAGGAACCGTCACAGTTGCGAAGAGGAACTTTTGGTACTTTCCTACTTTTTCGCCTCCCCCGCCGCCGCCCCCGTCCCGCTGTGATGAATATGTCGCAGGCGTTCATTGAGGGTTGCGAGTGTTAGCTGTTGCGTTTCTGAAGCTGGCAACGACGTGAGCTATACGCGGCGTCTTCGTGTAGACATGTCGTCGCCTCAATGATAGCGAAAGTAGTTGCCCCATAATTCCACCCAAATGGTGTTATGCTATTCTACGTTTGCACTATGATAGATAACACACTGACGACCTGGCGACTGGGAATCCATGAACACACTCGCACGAATGAGTCGCTTCATTTTGCCATGGGTTCACACACCAATTGCGTTGGTTGTTGGGTTTCCGGAGCTGACAACGACGTGCTACGCGGCATCTTCGTGTAGACAATGCATCGCGAAAATATTCTGCCCCATCATTCCGCCGAAATGGCGTCATCATGCTTGTGCATATACGCGATGGATATACACTTGACAACCGGCGACTGGAAATCCATGAACACATTTGCCGTAGGTTCACAATCCAGTAAATGAGGACCACTGCCGTTGTTAGATCATCAAGTTATCGAGCTCGACAGGGAGAGAGACCGAGCAGAGTAATATCGGATGAAATCTGTTCACCATGATGACCCCACCGGCTCGGCTCCCAAGTCCACTCCTTTTCCTTTTAGTTCAAGCCGGGAGTTTGGACAGGGCACCAACGCTTCCAATTATTTGTCGTGTGCGTTCTGAAAGTCATCAGCACGTCGTCATCTACGATTGAGTGTCGTGAAGGTGCGCGGGATGAATTAGGTATTTTGTAATGACGATGTGCCAGACTTCGCTACAGGTAGATCGCGCCGTAGCCTCATGTACCTTCCAAGGCGTGCATCAGGCAGCAACCAAGGATGACAAACCAACTCCTGCCCGATCACACGATTGCAATATATTTCCTAGCAGGGAGTACGATTCCGAGGAGTATCGTCAACAACTGTCTGTGACCCTTCATCGCTCTTCTGCTGATATCGATTCTCGAAACTCACTCTCACTTTCATGTCAAGTTCCTTGGAACTACCAAACAAAAGTGTTGAGATTTTTAGTAGTTTTTATGTTTTTCTCTCTGGAAATGTTGAGCACGGCAGCAACGCTGCTCTTCGTATCGTAATATACCCGCGTCAAGAAAGAAAGTCTACACAAAATGTCTGTGTGGCAAGAATAAAAAGAGTACCGCCACAACAGTTAACAAACTTCCAAACTCCCCCCCGCCGCGCGCCGTCACGAGAGAAGGTGGGGTATGATGCTCAAAAATCTAAAAAAGGACGAGACGACAAGTGCTTTGCACCGTGTGGCTATATGAAAACTTGTATCTAGACAACGGACGTTTTACCCTAGACACCCCACTGCAGCGAGGAGCTCGGCCGAACCATGCCCCCCGTTCGCCCCCGTTGAGCTCTAACAATGTATCGCCAAATAATATCGCCAACGCCACCCAGGCTCATCATTTCGAACGGACAAGCATGGATGACAGCGAAGCAACCCCCTGCCCCCCTCTCTCTTCCCTTCCAACAACAAAATTTCGTATCTTTGATGTAGCCAACCAATGCGCCCTACAGCGAGCTGCACATGACACCGACAAAAAAGCAAAAAAAAACGGACCTCGCCTAAGGACCGCCGGCGGACATGGTAGTCAACAACAAGAAACGGCCGAAAATAACCAACATGCCTCCCACGACTTTTCGCTCACACTCATCATGGTTTGCTCCTGTCGCCCCCCCCCCCCCCCCCCCCCCCCCCCCCCCCCCCCCCCCCCCCCCCCCCCCCCCCCCCCCCCCCCCCCCCCCCCCCCCCCCCCCCCCCCCCCCCCC